GCTGAGATAATCAGCATCTCGCTGATGTACCTGCCTATGTTTATTTACTTTCAGTCTCTGTACCTGTCTATGTTTGCTGTGGGAGGCTGAGATAATCAGTGTCTCGCGGATGTACCTGTCTATGTTTATTTACTTTCAGTCTCTGTACCTGTCTATGTTTGCTGTGGGAGGCTGAGATAATCAGCGTCTCATTGATGTACCTGGCAACACGCCTGACTAAGTTTGACATCCAGGACTGGCACGGGCGAGTCCCGGGTACACGCACCAAGTGGTGGGAGTTCCTGGTGGAGGACATCACTGTAGACCTCATGGAAGGTTAGAGAGTAATGTTGTGTAATGTGTGACTGTTAGAGATCAATGTTACGTTAGAGGTTAATACTATGTTAGAGATTAATACTACATTAGAGAATACATGTAATGCTGTGTCATATGTCAAAGTTAGAGATTAATGCTATGTTATGTGTGAAGGTTAGAGATAAAATCCTTCATCTTGATATCTATTCTGTGTTTGTTACTGTATTTGTAGATATCTGTCATGGAGTCCTACATGTAGATTCTGTTATCTATTTTGTGTCTGTTACTGTAACTGTCTGTTTTTCCCCTGTAGATATCTGTCATGGAGTCCTACATGTAGATTCTGTTATCTATTTTGTGTCTGTTACTGTAACTGTCTGTTTTTCCCCTGTAGATATCTGTCATGGAGTCCTACATGTAGATTCTGTTATCTATTTTGTGTCTGTTACTGTAACTGTCTGTTTTTCCCCTGTAGATATCTGTCATGGAGTCCTACGTGTAGATTCCGTTATCTATTCTGTGTTTGTTACTGTATTTGTAGATATCTGTCATGGAGTCCTACATGTAGATTCTGTTATCTATTTTGTGTCTGTTATTGTAACTGTCTGTTTTTCCCCTGTAGATATATGCCATGGAGTCCTACATGTAGATTCTGTTATCTATTTTGTGTCCATTACTGTAACTGTCTGTTTTTCCCCTGTAGATATCTGTCAATATTTACATTTGCAAATGTTTTCCTTTATATAACACTACTGAAAGCAATGCGTATCTATAACTGTATAAATACAGGTACGGGGTCAAGAGGTCATAAATGTGCGTAAAGATAAACGTTCGACGTAATTTCTCTGTGACGTCATAAAGGGTCGACGCGCGTTCAGTGGATTACATACATGCCGTTGGGTTTGAAAAATAACGCATTTCACACGTTAAAAGTCACAATCAGGCAAATATAAAGTATGAATAAGTCACAAATGTAAATATAAGTAATAAGGTTTCATTTTAAAACATCTATCGGGCTATAAATACGGGTCGGTACGAGATTAAATTCATCATAAAGCCCTTCGGGCTTTATGGAATTTAATCTCGTGACCAACCCGTATTTATATCCCGATAGATGTTTAAAAATGATACCTTATTTCTTAATTGAGTCCTACATGTAGATTCTGTTATGTATTTTGTGTCCATTACTGTAACTGTCTGTTTTTCCCTGTAGGTATCTGTCATGGAGTCCTACATGTAGATTCTGTTATCTATTTTGTGTCTGTTACTGTAACTGTCTGTTTTTCCCCTGTAGATATCTGTCATGGAGTCCTACATGTAGATTCTGTTATCTATTTTGTGTCCATTACTGTAACTGTCTGTTTTTCCCCTGTAGATATCTGTCAATATTTACATTTGCAAATGTTTTCCTTTATATAACACTACTGAAAGCAATGCGTATCTATAACTGTATAAATACAGGTACGGGGTCAAGAGGTCATAAATGTGCGTAAAGATAAACGTTCGACGTAATTTCTCTGTGACGTCATAAAGGGTCGACGCGCGTTCAGTGGATTACATACATGCCGTTGGGTTTGAAAAATAACGCATTTCACACGTTAAAAGTCACAATCAGGCAAATATAAAGTATGAATAAGTCACAAATGTAAATATAAGTAATAAGGTTTCATTTTAAAACATCTATCGGGCTATAAATACGGGTCGGTACGAGATTAAATTCATCATAAAGCCCTTCGGGCTTTATGGAATTTAATCTCGTGACCGACCCGTATTTATATCCCGATAGATGTTTAAAAATGATACCTTATTTCTTAATTGAGTCCTACATGTAGATTCTGTTATGTATTTTGTGTCCATTACTGTAACTGTCTGTTTTTCCCCTGTAGGTATCTGTCATGGAGTCCTACATGTAGATTCTGTTATCTATTTTGTGTCTGTTACTGTAACTGTCTGTTTTTCCCCTGTAGATATCTGTCATGGAGTCCTACATGTAGATTCTGTTATCTATTATGTGTCCATTACTGTAACTGTCTGTTTTTCCCCTGTAGATATCTGTCATGGAGTCCTACATGTAGATTCTGTTATCTATTTTGTGTCCATTACTGTAACTGTCTGTTTTTCCCCTGTAGGTATCTGTCATGGAGTCCTACATGTAGATTCTGTTATCTATTTTGTGTCCATTACTGTGACTGTCTGTTTTTCCCCTGTAGATATATGCCATGGAGTCCTACATGTAGATTCTGTTATCTATTTTGTGTCTGTTACTGTAACTGTCTGTTTTTCCCCTGTAGATATCTGTCATTGAGTCCTACATGTAGATTCTGTTATCTATTTTGTGTCTGTTACTGTAACTGTCTGTTTTTCCCCTGTAGATATCTGTCATGGAGTCCTACATGTAGATTCTGTTGTGTATTTTGTGTCCATTACTGTAACTGTCTGTTTTTCCCCTGTAGGTATCTGTCATGGAGTCCTACATGTAGATTCTGTTATCTATTATGTGTCCATTACTGTAACTGTCTGTTTTTCCCCTGTAGGTATCTGTCATGGAGTCCTACATGTAGATTCTGTTATCTATTTTGTGTCCATTACTGTAACTGTCTGTTTTTCCCCTGTAGGTATCTGTCATGGAGTCCTACATGTAGATTCTGTTATCTATTATGTGTCCATTACTGTAACTGTCTGTTTTTCCCCTGTAGATATCTGTCATGGAGTCCTACATGTAGATTCTGTTATCTATTTTTGTCCGTTACTGTAACTGTCTGTTTTTCCCCTGTAGGTATCTGTCATGGAGTCCTACATGTAGATTCTGTTATCTATTTTGTGTCCGTTACTTTAACTGCCTGTTTTTCCCCTGTAGATATCTGCCATGGAGTCCTAGATCTGTACTCCTCCAACCCTCAGTCACAGCTCCGTGAGGATTCCCCTCCCACTACACCGGTCAAAAAGAGTGAGGTCAGGGACACCCCACCACCACCCCCTCCAAACAAACGCAGCAGCAACGTAAGTTACACCACATTTACCCATATCATTAGAAATTTTATATGAATCAAAAAAGCTGTAAACATTAAACAAGTGCTAGATGGTTATGAATACAATAACATTTTTAATACTTGCAAAATAAAATGAAATATATGTACTTCCTTTTATGCGTAATCATTCCTTCTTTTTGACAGACAATAATAACTGATTGTGTCTATTACTTCTATTTAGAGCCTCCCATTGGATGGTCCACCAGAGAAGGCAATAAAAAAGGAACGTAAACAAGACTCCCATCACTCTTCCTCATCAGACAGTCGCCCGACAAAACATTCCTCCTCATCCTCCAAACACACGCCGTCATCAGACAGTGGACACAGTTTGTCAAAGACCCCCACCACCAGTGTACCCCAGCCCCCCCTCTCTGGGGCCCCACCCAACTCCAAGCTGGAGTTTTCTACCTATAACCCCTACATGTCCTCTCATATGTACTCATCATCCTTCATGTCTCAGGAAGGGAGTAAATCTATACAGAGTCTAATGGGTGGGGGAGGAGGGGCAGCAAAATCAGCCCCCGTCCCTGAGAACTACCCCCCTCCACAGAGTTCTGTAGCCCCACCACCTGCTCCAGGGGGTCAGTTTCCACCCCCAGCTAGCCAGTATCCTCCCTCTCAGTACTCCCAGCCCTCAGTGTATGCCCCACCAGCCTCTGCCCCCTATAATCAGCCACCCCCAACTGGAGCAGGGAACGCATACACAGTACCCCCACATGGTGCCTATCCCCCTCCAGCACCAGCCACTACAGCACCAGCACAGTCCTACAGTGTCCCCATTACAAATCCCCAGAACTACCCCCCAGGGTCCTACCCCCCAAATTACCAGCCCCCACCCTACCAGTATAACAATCAGCCCCAGGCACCTCCACCCCAGACCGGAGGTTATCAGCAGAATATGGGTTACAACCCCCCAGCCCAGCCCCCCGCTCCCCAGCAGTACCCCCAACCACCAGTGTTAACTCCCAGAATTCCAATGTCTGGGGCACCTGCTCCTCCCAGAATGCCCAGCCAGCCAAGTCAGCCTCGGAACCCAAATCCTGGAAACTCGGGGGGATTGACAGTGAGAATTTCAGGACGCAGATAAATACCGTGAAGTTCAGTGTGTGTTAGATACAACTTAATTTGACAAAAGGCAACAATTTTAGTGTATGTATGAGCTTAACAATTGATTTACTTGTAAAAGGAGAAATGTGTGAGGTTAAATTTATATTTTAAGAAAGTGATGTCAATAAAGACATGGATGTTTTTCAATTGTTATGTCATGTGTGATTATTGATCAGATTTATTGATGTCTGTAAAGTAAGAGAAGCTGGTAAGAAGTCTATATCCAGTTGTGGATTCATGTTCTTTCATTTTAATGTCTGAAGCATTTCACCAAATTGAAAACTTAGTTATATAAAATATAAATCCAAAATCACAGCTTAATGGAAGTAGTTTCCCCTTGGTACATGTATTGTGGTCATATTTTCAACTGAAATGATACTTTCCAAATGAATTTAAAGAATTCAGTGTTACATTTTTTTCCAAAGTGGATGAAGACTACTTTTAACTTTTGGATGAAATATACTGATTATGTTTTATCAGACAAAATAGGATAAAAATAAGATTTTGAATCAAACTTTATTAAAAAAAAAACAAATCAGAAATTACTTAAAGCTATCTCACTTGTACAAATATCAAAGTGAATGTGTAGCAAAATTAAATAAAAAAATATTTCGATTCTCACTAAACTTTATAAACAACTGCAATGGATGTATATTGTTCAATGCTTGATAGCAATCAACATCAGTACATGTTTATCTTACATACTGAGGAAACTTATCAAATGTTAACTATATACTTAAAACTTCTACCCAGTACTCATGTTCTTTCTTGATCGTTTTTAGAAGATAAACACAATTAAGTCATGATTCAGGTCAACTTTATATGCATTTGTGAAGCAAACAATCATTTTACCACTTTGTTAACTTGGACACATTACACTATACACATCATCAACAGTCAACCACACTTGAATTTGATATTTTTAGATGTGAAGAATCTAAGATTATCCTTGTTGGCCAATACTGATTTCATCACAATTAAATGGCACACTGTTAACCAAATGTTCATCATGTCATCTTTTATTTGCAATTTGTCGGTTTGAAATTAGTCTATGACGCTGAATTTTTGCGACAGACAAAACATTCACTACATTAATAAATACAATGCAAAAAAAGTTATTCACAGTGATAAAAATTTGGGAGTTAAAGTACATGCTGTAGCTTGCAGATATTTCTCGCATGTGAATAAAAGTTGGTTTACGGTATCACAGAAGATGTTGATGTTAGCATTTTGTGGAGCTGAATCAGTGCTGCACTAACAGATTCCTTGTCCATTATATTCACGTCCATCACTTGTGATGAGCCAGGGTGATTTTTCAGTGCACTTTCAACTTTAATCACCAAATCACTATTTATATCTAAATTTAAAAAAAGGATTAAATATTGTTTACAGAATACATAGGGAATATTGCATTCATGTTCATGTTATGATGGATTAGCTAGACACAGCTCTCCTTACTGAGCTAAAGAGTTAGCTCACTAGCTAGTGCTAGTAGGAGCATGGCTTCACTATTTACAACACATGGCCACTTTTAACTCTGTTACATTAATGTAATAAAGTTACATTCGCCCTAGCCTGACATTTCATTTTCAAATATCCTCAAGAACTTGGAAAACAAAAATGATAAATTATATTTAATACATGTAGCAGATGAGAGCTGATTATAAGCAGTCTGGTAAAACTTAACATTGCTTTACTTCTAAATATTTTCATCTTGAAATTGATTTAGTGAGGTTATGAAAGTTCACTCACCCTTTCTTTTATTTATGAGAACTAGAAATGGAAGTGAATTTAAGTCTCGCTCCATGGTCACTTTGGCTAAGTCATCAATGGTATCTTCTATGTCAGATAAGGCATCAATAATGTAAACAACACCTAGTAATGAATTGTAAACAGCTGGTTAGAATCATAGCTCTTTTTCGGTAAGTAAAAAGTTGGCAAGACCAGCTTTCAAATAATGCTGGTTTGCCTTCTCCAGACTCCAGTAAACTGGGTCGGTAGGTAGGTGGAAAAATTTGTTCTGAAAATGTTTACATAGTTCTTGACAAGTTTCTGAGGGAGGGGAAAGCTTAAAAAAACCCTTTCAGAGAGCTTCGGGTTATAAAAAAAGTTTTACATTGGTTAATTTTTAGCCAGTTGGTCTGGCTAAGGCAAACAAACAATTTTTTTAATTAATTTATTCATTTATTAACTAATGATGTTCTGTTTTCCATGATTTTCTGAAAATAAAGCCTACCATCTGTGCCGTGGTAGAATTGTCGGCGCTTCAGTCTAAAATCCTTCCTCCCACACAAGTCCCACACCATGTACACCTTACCCTCCACAGCGACCCTCTCCACATTGAAGCTGTCGGTCGGAACTGTGTCAAGGTCATTTGTACCAAGAACCCAGCTGTACAGTAAATGGGTCTTCCCTGAAATTCAGCAAAAATGAACCGCAGATACATGAATTATTGTTTGCAGCTAACTATAAAGTTTCATGTTACGTCACGATCTAGTTGACAGCTGCGCTCAAGGTAAATTGTACACGCCTCCTAACCGCAAGCTTTACGACTGCATGGAACTTTCTTCTTATCCCTGCTTGGTTCCTCGTGAACAGACTATTTCCGTGTCAATGTTGATAATTTGAGTTGAACAATCACGTGAATTGTTTACGCTGGATGCATCTGACGAAAAAGATCGTGACGTAACGTGAAACTTTACAGTTAGCTGCAAACAATAACATTTAATCTACATATACAGAAACGGGGGGATCTCTTCAAGAACAAAAAACTATAAATACGAAAGTTGCATTCTATTTCATATGTATCATAGGGGAATTAAATTAAAGACACACCTATCACTAAAAATGTTTGAACAACTAAAAACATTGGCAGTAGGAAGGAACACAAACTAGTAAAGATTATTTTCAGAGGCACTAGTTGAACAATTCCTGAATCTGAGAGTTGTGTACCTCCGCCACTGTTTCCGATTATTAGAATTTTCTTTGGTAAGTCTTTTAATGAAGGTCCACTACAGGTTCCTCCCATAATAATCCATACAGAAATTTATGTGAAATCATGCCTGTCATTTTTTGTTTACATGAGAAACGGAAGTGTATAATTCGCATTTATATAGTATTCCGAACCCGATCAAAATTCAAATAAATGAATAAAATAAAAAAAAGTTTAAAAAATCGAGCGTTCCGAATATCATCAATCATTTCAAGGACAAGGAGGGCATGAATAAATATATGCTCGTGAATTTGAAATTTTATGATTCAGTTATAAGGCATACGCTTTTTAGCTCGCCTGAAATGAGATATTCTGATCAAAACTGCATTGACATTGTATTCGTCATAAATTTCCTTTAGTTGTACATGTTGTACAAATTGATATCTCTTGTCAATTTCAATCAAACTTGCCACGAGCACTATGGGCGAAGGTAATTAAATCCAAGTTTGTTGAATATGAAAATGAAGAGCCACACCCACTTTCAAGCTAGGGAAAGACAAACACTCGGGCGGACAACGTACAATTACGTGAAAGCCACATGAAAGCCATAAACTTTTAAATTTGATCAAATCATGACCGCCGAGTTTCGGGTGATCCACAACAAAAGATAAAAGTCTAACATACTCGTTTATAAATTCACGTACTGGTTTAAAACATTCTGAATAAGATCTTCTCAAAAATAATAACCGTACATATTGGTTAGTCATATCTCGTATATGAACACCGTAAACAGGTAAATTTTCGCTCCGTTTTATTTTGCCTCTTTCGCCAAACCCTCATTCGGGCGAATTTGAAACGGGGAAAATTCAAACAAATACGGTATATTTTTTTTAAACAAATCTATGATTGGGCGAATTTAAAACGGGGCAAAAATTATCTGTATGCAATCTTCATGTAGAAAGCGCGAAAATAACAAGGGGATCTTTTGGTATCTTCATCTTTTAGCATGCATTTTGCCGTTTATTTGTTTCATAAAAAGAAAGAGGGCGTATAAGGCGTGTTCAATCCCCCGCTCTGAGACAAAATGTTTCTCAATTTTCAAAATTTACAGAAATGTTATATTTTTCTAAAATCATGTTCTCAGTAATATCATCTTCAAAACATTCTATTATTTTATTTTACTGAACGACTTATCATTTGATAATATTTATTTCAAAGTTGACAGTAAAGCATATTTAGTGGAAAATGGGTTTAACAGAGCTATAAAAAACGAATTTTTAACATGAATGGGTCAAGTCTCCATTCTTCGTGAACGACTATGATGAAAATGTAAATGCGAAATCTATTTCACTTGTCCAAAAAATGGAATCTGAACCCATTCTATATGAAAATCGAACTTTTCTGAAAAAAATTACGCTTCAACAAACCCGTTCATTTAAATCACACTGAAAGACAATATTAATGCATGTTCTTCGTCGCGTAGTGGTTAAAGCGGTTGGTCTTGTTCCAAACCTGCGCTATGGAGAGAGTTCGAATCATACGTGAAGCTATTTCTTTAATTTTTTTTTTTGTTTTCAAAGGTCTTCAAAACATGAGTGAAAAATAAATTATTAATAAATTATTTAAACAATAAAATACAGAATTTGATGTGAAAAAATGATAAACCATAAAATTTTGAAAAAATACTACTTTTGGAATTGAGAAAAGTCTCTTTTCAGAGCGGGGGATTGTCCTCGCCCTGTACGCCTCCATTCTTTGTTGAATATATAACACAAATTCACACTGCATAACATGAAATAAAGTCCAGTAATGGTGCAGTCTTTGAAAAGTAGACCTTCAGTTCTTCCATTTAGGCAAAAATGTCAGATCCCGGCGGGGTTTACAAAAACATTTGATCACGGACAACTTGATCTACGAAAGCCAATGCATCATACACTACTGTGACGCAATACGTACTATTGAATGTTGGTATATATATATAATGTCGACGACGAAAAGTACTATATAGCCTGGTAAAAATACCCGTACCTGTATTTTGAAAGGTTGAATTAAAATATCATTTATAATCAAATGAGTACTTATTTACTTATTAACGTCTTCAATCAAACGACTCAGTAATAAATGTTATTATTATAATTTTTCTTTATTGTTCCAACTATCTGATTGGATCAAAGTATATCACATGATCAAGTATAATATACAATTAAAGCCTTTTAATAAGGTCAATCCCTATCTATATATGGACCTTAGAGAAAGTATATATCGACCGAGGACGAAGTTCTCTAAGGTCTATATATGTAGGGATTGTACCGACTCAAAATGGTACAATTGTTTTATTTTTTTATATATAAATTTTTTGATAATAAATGTCTTAAAATCATTCTTTCTAATACTCAGTACCTTTTCAATATAAGATATTGTTATGTCATTTACAATATGACGTCACAATAATGAATACCAGCTGCTGTATCTGTTTTTAGAAACATCCAGTATATAAAGACTGGTGTGATGTGATAAGCTTTTAAAATAGAAACATCCAGTCTTTAATACTTTTTATACTTGATCATGTGATCTAGTTTGAGCCAATCAAATAGTTGGTAACAATAAAGAAAATTATTATATGATTGAATAATTTCCATCTCTCTGATTGGCTGTGATCCAACTATGTTAGAAAAATACTACGTTGCATTGACCTGCACGTGACGTTCCAGGTCAATACAAGGATTTATTTCCTCTACATTGATCTAAAAATAGATTTTGAAATTTCAAATTGATACAAATTGTTTTGGAAAGCTATTTAAACGACTGTGATTTTTTTTTCATGTGAAAAAAAACCCATAAACGAATATATATTTTAGGGTGAGGGTGGTAAGAGGGGATGCAGGGACCCCCCCCCTCCAACACTTTTACTGAACAACATTTTTTTTTTTTACTTTTTGGCAGTCAGTTTTCCCTGATAATACTCCTTCCTTTCAAAATCTATCCTATAAAAAGACTGACATTATATTCTTTTCATGGCAACTAAAATTGATTTTAAAAAAACATTTCAAATCGATACATGTTTTTTGCATTTTTATTCTGTTTCTCTCTTGTATTTGACTATGAGTTAAATGCAAGTTAACAAGTAATGAGCTGCATCATTTTATCAATGAATCATATAATAAAACAATTATTGCTGTTTTTTTAGGTCAATTCAATGATTTAGCCATCTTCGAAGTACAATATTCACCTCGCCTTTCGGGCTCAGTGAATATTGTACTCCTCAGATGGCTAAATCATTGACCTCAAAAAACAGCTATAATTGTATAATGATAAAGAGTCCTCATTCAAACGGTTCTAACATTTACTATCGTCCTCAGTTAAACTGTACTAATATTTACTAACGTCCTCAGTCAGACGGTACTAACATTTACTAACGTCCTCAGTCAAATGGTACTTATATTTACTAACGTCCTCAGACAAACAATACTAACATTTACTAACGTTCTCAGTCAAACTGTACTAACATTTACTAAATTCCTCAATCAAACAGTACTAATATTTAATGACATCCTCCGTCAAACGGTACTAACATTTACTGACGTCCTCAGTCAAACGGAACTATTATTTACTAACGTTCTCAGTCAAACAGTACTAACATTTACTAACGTCCTCAGTCAAACTGTACCAACATTTTGTTACGTCCTCAGTCAAACAGTACTAACATTTAATGACGTTCTCAGTCAAACAGTACTTACATTTAATGACGTTTTCAGTCAAACGGTACCAATATTTGATGATGTCCTCAGTCAAATGATACTAACAATTACTAACGTCCTCATTCAAACAGTACTAACATTTAATGACGTCCTCATTCAAATGGTTTTAACATTACTAACGTTCTCAGTCAAACAGTACTAACATTTAATAACGTCCTCAGTCAAACTGTACTAACATTTACTATCTTATTCAGTCAAACAGTACTAACATTTACTGACGTCCTCATTCAAACGGTACTACACTTATTAACATTCTCAGTCAAATGGTACGAATATTTACTGACATCCTCGGTCGAACGGAACCAACTTTGTTAAAAATTTGTGTAAACAAATTTAAACATTTGACAATTCGTCATATCGAATTCATAAATATTTTTTGATAGATTCTAAATGAGGCACCATATATAACTTAGATACTACTTGCATGGAGAATCCAAAACGTTAGTCTTTGTGCTAATATATTTTGTGAAAAGATGGAGGACAGTCTTTGATTTCGATGAAGGATTTAGTTTTTGTGATTTTTCTTTATAAACGTTACTCGGACGATTATTTTTACCAACTTTACTCAAATTTGGGCCAGTCAGTAGAACTTTGATACTTATGGTAAAAACTTCAATTCATGTTTTTAAATATTTCTCAATAAAGATAAATGATACAAAAGAAAAATATGCAACTTTATGATTATCTTTTTTCTGATTTATAAATACTTTAAATATAAAAGAAATCGTACTAGTATCTTTCCACAAATTTTATTTAAGATTAAACTTTGTTGTTAAGTTTATTTTTAAATAAAATTTGTGGAAAGACAGTAGATTGTAATTCAAGCCAAAGGAGATCAAATAAAAAATTCCAGTGATTACACCACACTTACCATGACATGACATTCAATGTAAGTAAATCAATAATAATGTGTAAATCAAAACTACAAAAAAAATCTCTGTTCTTTGTACTTTAAAGATATTGTAAAGACGCAAAGCATTATAGCTAAATCAATGCTGCATGAGCTTTCATCTAGAATATATTCTGCCTCGTGTGATGTCGATATCATCATGTTGTGCCAGCAAAATGCCATTAAATAATTCTTTTTTGTCTAACGATATCACAGCCCATTATATCCGTGATAACACCATAGAAGTATGCAGACGTACAGGCTATAGTTCCTTGATGAGCTTTGCCGTTTTCAGCTGATCTATTAGAATTATAGTCATATAGTCTTCTTATAACCAAGTATTTTTAACTGATTTCGTATTGTGGAGTCATTAGATTTCGTGGTGTCTCAATATTCGAGGACTTTGTTGAATAACCCTTCATCCACGTAATTACTTCCTCTACGAATTTAAATACACGGGTTTCAAAGTCTCTTCATCATGATCATATTTAACGTCCCCGCGAATCCATAACA